TGATAAGGTATAGTACGGTTGTGAGTTGTCTTAAATATGAAGCTTCAATATTAAACTTTTCAAGTATTAACGAGAGTATTGTCACAGTTTTTTGAGATGCAACGGTCTGATGCTTTGAGAGCTCTTGATATATACAGGAGGGCTGGGAAGCAGGTATTACTTGTAGAATTCTTTTTTATTCTTCTATTTGTCCCCGTGGTTATCTTTTAATATCCTCAATGTGACTCCTTCCAGGCTGAGAGACTGTCTGAGTTTTATGAAATATGTCGAAATCTTGATATTGGGCGAGGAGAGAAATTTGTTAAAATCGAGCAGGTTTGTTGGCTCATGTCTCTTGCCTTTTCAATTACTATTTTCTTAAAATATTTGTTTAAATACAATACTGAGTGAAATTAGTTGATGACATGAAGCCCCCTGCATCATTTCTGCAAGCCATGGAAGAGTATGTCAAAGATGCTCCCCGGGATTCAATAGTCCGCAAGGATCAGGTACGGCACTGTCTTTTCTAATCTGAACACATATCCTTACAAATCAGGAATTGACAAGACTGATGTTATGGATGCAAGTGCAAAATGAAAAAGAAGGAACTTCTAGTTGTTGTACTTATAATTGACGCAGTCATATTCCTATTGGCTATCTACTTGTCAATAACAAAAATATGCTTGCTGCTAGAAGTCGAATGCAAAGGGGAATCATTTTGACACAAGTTGTGATTAAGAAGATGGTCCAACCATTTTGTAATATGGCAGCTTGGTGAATATTTAAGTCACGTTATTCTCATGCCCAAAAAGCTTTGGAGTAATACATTGGGGTCTAAACATATGGAATCTTCTGTTAATACCTTAATAAACTGATTTCCGTGTATAATTATGGACCAGGGCATTGACAACAAAATTGCCCCTCCAAAAGAAGTTTTGGCTATAGAATACAACAAGACATCAGAGGCGCAGGAGGCACCTGCAGCACCTGTGCAGGAGTCACCTCCACCTCCCCCTCCTGAACCTGTAAAAGTGGAAGCACCTGCAGCACAACCACCGCCTGATTTGTTGGTAAATTATTGGAACTCCTCTTAGTTTCCTGCTTTTGACTTGGGCTGATTGCTAACTGGTTGATTTGGATACGATCTGATTTTTAAATGATGCTTTAGCTGCAACTACGAACTTACTTTGTTTTGGCTTGCCATCTAGAATTTGGATGATCCTGTTCCTGCTGCATCAGAGTTGGAAGAGAAGAATGCCTTGGCATTAGCCATTGTTCCTGTTGGTATGCTGTTCTTCCTTTTCCTCTATTTAATTGTATTGGTAAAATAAGGTTGTGGATTTGCACTTGTGGGTATGAATAAGTTATTTGATTATAAGTGGACTGAATGGTTCTCTTTGAAGAAGAATGATTCTAAACATTCTTAGGGCTAAACCTCCGACTTTTAACGACTTAATTGAGTGAATTATGCTTTGGCATTCCCTTCATTTCCTCCCTTGGTGTGCAGCTAAAATTTCAATACTTTAGTCTTGTAGGCATGTATCCTAGTGTCATTTCTTATGACTTACTCATTGCTGATGGTTTCAGCTGATCAGCCAACTTCTGTTTCAAAACAAGAAAATGGAACTACAGGCTGGGAATTGGCACTTGTTACAGCTCCAAGTTCTAATGAGAGTGCTTCTGCAGCTAGCAAACTGGTGAAGCCTTATTTGAAAATTTCTGCTCAATTTAATATTCTGTCCTTCATGCAGTCAGTTCATCCTTTTGTTATTCTTCTAACGAGTGTTGATGGATTATCTGAATGATCAGGCGGGAGGGTTAGACAAGCTTACACTAGACAGCCTATATGATGATGCAGTCAGAAGGAACAACCAGAATGTGAGCTATAATCCATGGGAGCCTGCGCCTATGGGAACAATGATGCAGCCGACAGTGCACGATCCATTTTTCGCTTCTAATGCGGTTGCTGCTCCTCCTTCTGTCCAGATGGCTGCCATGACCAACCAGCAGCAGGCTTTCATGTTTCAGCAGCAGCAGCAGCAGCAAATGATGATGATGGCCCCTCAGCAACAATCTTCTAACCCTTTTGGAAATCCTTATGGAGCTACTGTCCACCCCTATGGCTCGGGTGTGCCTGTTCAAGCGTACAATCCATACACCGGTCTCATGTAGACACTTCACCTGGAAAACAAATTCTTTCTACATAAAACTCGATGAAGAGAAACGCGGACGCTCAGTTTTGGATTCTGAGATTGGGAGACACCAAGGATAGACAGACTTGTACTATATGTTGTGTATGTGCAGTAGATAGCAAGAGTGAAATTCTTTATTGAATAATTTAGTGAGAGAGAGGTTTTTCATTATTTGGCTATTAAGTTCAAGAAAACTGATAATGAGCTTTTATTCAGACCACTTAGAATTTTTTTCTTTCTCCTGATCCATTACTGTTAATGCGTTAGCAGAAAAATTGTTCTGGATAACTTCTCTCAGTTTTTTCTTTTTGTTGGATTTTTTCATGTATGATAGAAATTGTTTGTATCATGTGATTATTGATACTTCATTTATCAAACAAAAATTTGTGAACTGTCAGTTTAAATGTTGTAAGTGATCACTTGTCAGCTTCCTGTAGACCACTTATGAATTTTCTGGGTAAATGCTTAATATATAGCATCACCCCACTGGCTGTTAATTTTGGTCCGTTTTGTTCCAAATGTTCAGTTTTAGCAGTTAAACCCAAAAGAAATGATTGGAGAGTGTCACAATACTCTTGCCAACAAAATTTACATGTCGTACAAGATAAATATGTAAAAAAAAATTTTTTGTCTCGATTTATGTAAAAATATTTTTTTAAAATGGTTCCAAGAGTTGTTAAACTTGCTAAGTGAAAATGAGTTCTTCCATTAGTTGGGGAGAAGTTTTCTGTATGGAAGTTAATTCTTGATGCTTCACGGCTAGAAGGAATCATGTCTAATATACAGTAACCGGATATGATTTAAGGTGTAATCAATGGTTTGAATGGTACATATTTGCCTACAATTAAATGATCGAGAGCCAGCACAATAAATTTGTGGGCGATTAGATTTTTCTTGGCATGTATAAATATTATTTATAATTATTTGCTTATTATATACTATCTCCGGTCCTTAATATAAGATCTTGTTTGACTTTTATTTTGATCCTAAATATAAGACTCTAATTCACTTTGTCTATTATATTTATACTTTTTTTTCAAGTTAATTTTCTAACAATAGTCGTTCTAACTAATACACTTGATTAATAAAGATATTTTTGGAAAGACAACATCTATTTATTACAAGTAACTAATTTAACTTTTTTTTTAATCTTCAAATTAGCTAACTAGCTCTTATAATTAGGATCAGAGGTAATACGCTGCATCCTGTTCCCCTCTCTCTGTTGTAGTCTTCCTCTGATGTGCTTTCTATCCCAGAGTGAACTGAGAGCAAATAGAGAAGATGGTTATGATGTCATCTAAAAACCTGCCAAAGTGGATGGAGGAGAAATAATAGATGAAAACGATTGTGGTGCAAATATCAATGAACTACGATAAATGCGGGACAAGGACGGAGGCTACCATAAAGCTCAGTTGATGGTGAACCAACCAAGTATCTCTGCGGAATACAAGTGATTTTCAACCCAAAATAAAAATAAATAAATAACTAAAAACATAAACAGAAGAGGTTAGTTCTCATAACGTGACGAACCAAGATTCGAATTCTCGTTGAAAAGGATATTCACATTTAGTACTCGACAGAGCCACAGATAGGATTGCTTTCAATAAAAAGATATATATGTTTTGGGTGAGGCAAAAAAAAAAAACATAAGCTAAGAGGGTTTCATCGAGTAACCCGAAATCAGTAATGACGCGATATGTGTTGCCCAGCAACTCTTTTTTTTTTTTTTTAAATCTTCCTCCTCATATACACCCTCTCTTCACATGCACCTTTTTGGTTGGGTGATTTAGTTCAAGATTTTTATTATTTAATTTAATGCAGGGGTGGTGGTCACGTGTCATGTCTCACGGGCTTTTTTTCCCCTTATTGTATTTGTCCCATGCATTAAATCGGCGTTCTTATATTTTATCCACTACATTTGATTCATATGCATGTATCATCATCCATTGTCATCAACTTATAAATACCTGTCAATTTTTCTACTCGTTGTCGCTATAAGAACTTATATTTTGATTGTCTGACCTTTAATTTTTTTCCCCCCAACAAAGATATGAAGTCGATTTTTTTTTTTGGTGGCCAGAAGAAATGTAGTTTGACAAGAGTTTTTATTGGGTCTCTTGTATTATTCTCAAGAAAACATGATTATTATTGTACTAGAAATGTTCATTCCTATTAATAAGGTTGAGTCTAGTGGATTGACGAATTAATTTATTAAGAGAGTTGTTTATATTTAGTATACGATAATATCTTGAATAATATTACCTCTAATAAAAAGATATTGTGATTAGCATAACAAAGAAATGTTTATTCCTTTAATGTTGTAGTGTTGAAATAAGTCATATGTTAATTGCCCCGTTTTCAGTCGTATAATCTACAGGCAAGATAGTAATCATTTATACAATTCAATAAATTATTTCCTTTATTTGAAAAACACAAAAAAAGAACTATTAGCCTTTTTTCCCAATTAGGTAAAATTTTAACAGACTTTAGGTCTTTTTGCAAGGAGTGGTTGAGGCTTATTAGTTGGTTGAAGACATATTAATTTGAATTATAATAAAAAGAATAGTATAAAGGGTTGAACATATATTTGTTGCTTAAGTTTTGGATTAGGATGTGGCGAACATATATTTGAAGAAGAATTATATACTTAATTCTGAAATAAAATTGTGTATGCTGAAGATTTATACACCCGCCAGTAGTTGAAACACAGGCCAGCCTTTGAAGTTAAGTCGCAAGCTTGTGAAAATACACATTTATACACAAAATATTTATTCTACGAGGAAAACATAAGAAACTATAAAAACAATTAAACATCCTTAATTTGGTGACTTCCCTCTCCAATCATCTTCCTCATCTCTGACTTTTTCCCCAGAGACTTCATTTCTCTTTTGCTGGCTTCGATTCGGAAACCTCAGTACCGCACTGACCATTGACCCAAAACTTAACAAGAAAAATTTACTAAATCTTCACTTTTACTCTTAATTCAGATGTCTTGGTTCTTCAAGACTCTCCAGTCCAACGACGACCTCCAATCTCCCCATCCTCACACAGCCGTTACATCCGCGTCTTCACCAGAGCGGAGCTCCTCCGGCAATCGCCACGGTGGCTCTGCGATCAAAGATGACGTATCCTCTCTTTTCCGAGGCGTCGCCAATTTCCTCGCTCCGCCGCCATCTTCTTCTTCCGCTGGCAATTCTGTGGACTCGTCGTCAAGAAGTCTTGATGTCGATGGGATCAGGAACGATCTGGCGGAAATCGGTGGAACCTTCAAGAGCTCGCTCTCCCTTCTCTCCTCCAATAAAGTTGTCACTGGAATTTCTGAGTTTGCCTCTCAATTAATTCTGCCTGAGGGCCAAGCTTTAGAGGATGATCAGGGAGATGATAATGGTGAAGGTGATGATCGGAATGATGGGGTTGTTCCGGGGACGACGGATGAGGTTGTTCGTTTTGTGAGAGAAATTTCTAGGCGGCCCGAGTGTTGGATAGAATTTCCATCGCCACTCGATCATGGTATTTCCATCTCTCTTTGATTATGTGATAGTAAGGTATACCGTTCATGGTCTCTCCCCGTTCTTTTTCAATTGAACATGTGTGATTCTTGGCTGGTGGGGGTTACTGGAATTAAGTTGATCGCTTTGGGAATTCTAGTTCGAGTAAACAAACATAATGATAACTAATTAGTGGCAATTGCATTTCCACTTGAACTTCCTCTGTAGAAGGTTGGTCTTTCTCCTGAATTCTTATTTTGGAACTCCTACATTCCATTTTTCTGGGGGGGAAATGAAGTTTTTTCTTTGATTATTGGCTGATAGGCTCGCAATATATGGAAGGGCCTAACTGAACTTATGAAAGGATTGAAGCTTTATCTCACTTATTCTGCCATAGAGGACTTTAACTGTTGCTTGTGTGTTTTGAGGAGTATGAAAGCTCTAACTTCAACAGTTTCTATATGATAATATGTAAGATTTATTCTTGTGAGAAGGCCAGCTCAAGCTCCACATGATTGTAACGTCAACAGGATTCTTGTGTCCTTCAACATAAGTCAACACTCACCTCTGCAAATGCTCTTTGGAAGAAAAATGATTGTGACTTGATCTGTCAGATAGTTTATAACATTGCAAGTGCGTTTTGTGTGGCATGCATAAAGCAAGATAAACCCAACGAAATGTGTTGTTCTTTGTTCTTTTTTTCCTGCTTCAATACTAATTAAGAAATTTCAATTTGATTTGACAGATTTCAGCATGTCCAATTCCCAGAGAGAACATGTATTAACTATAGAAAGACTGGTGCCTGAATTGGTTTCACTTAGACTCAATCTTTGCAGCTACATGAACGTGGAAAAATTCTGGATGATCTACTTTTTGCTGTTGCTTCCAAGACTAGATCAACGTGGTTTTGAGTGCCTGTCAACCCCAAAGGCAAGCTATGTTTCTTCAGATGTATTTTCGATTTTTGAACCTGATTTTCAGTAATGGAGAGCTCTATATATAGTCTCCTTGACCAATCAGATATGGTCATTTTACTCCACGATTATATATTATCCCTATCATCCTTGTAGATTTCTGTGATAAAATAAAAAACCCCCAACAAATATTTATATTCCTAACATTTCTTGTACATATGAAGGAAGTTTGTCGCTCCAATAGAAAGCAAAGCTCTATAATAGCAGACATTTTCTATGGTTTTAGTGTATGCCCTTGCCTATTTTAGGACCTTCGTTTAGTTAGTTTTGGCGTGTTTATGTAACCTTTTCAGGTGGTTTGATCTGTGGCTCCCATGACTAAGATTTATCTGTTTGAAGATAATATGTGTATATGATCCTCCTTTCTTTTTTTTTTTTTTTTAAATATACTTGTCTGAAAGCTGAGTGGCGATGTTCCCTAATTATATGTTGTCTCATGTATATGTTTTCCCTTTCTTCTTTTTTGTTCAGATTGTTGAAGCGAGGGATGCGCTTCTGCAGAAACTTGGAGAGAAGAGAGACTGCCAGATAGAAGAACGTGATCAGTTAAGTCAGGATCAAGAACACAGGGAGGACATTGCAATAGGGAGAGAAAATATTCCATCCGAGAAAACCAATACCATGACCGAGAAAAGAGATGCAGCAAAAGGCCTACAAATTGATGACACGGTGAGTAGTGAAAACTGGTTGGAAGATGCAAAACACTGATATTAGCTTTATTGAATTGCTGCGTAAAACTTGATACAGGAAGATATCTCATTCAGTGACCTAGAAGATGATGGTAGTGATCTCTCTGATAGAACATCAAGCCATAGGAGGGCTCAGGACACAAGGGGTTCATCACCTGATGGATCCAGTGACTGGGTTCAACTGAGTGAAAACTCAGAGAGAGGAGGCAGCCGGCGCCAGGCCGCCCATTCTAAAGGTAAGGAGTCGGAAGACGAGTCAAATGATTGGCTTGATGTTGATGATATTTAATTACATTTATTGATTGATTAACTGGCTGAAAAGGTTCAACTTTGCCCCATTTTTGGGGCTTTGTATTTAGAAAATTCCACTATGGTGTAAAGGATTCTTTATTCAGTTCTCCAACATTAATATTTCTTGTATAGCCAAAGATCCTGTGGCAGCCACATTTATCTTTGACAACGTGGGGGAGGCAAATAAAAGGATACATACGTGCAAAAAGCTGAAGTACAGCTTTTAAGCATTTGCTATTAAATTTCATAGCAAAAAACATACAGCATGTGAGATTCCCCCCCCCCCCCCCCCTCTTTTACAGCTTAATATTGAAGCATCCGTATGACTAGATGCGTTAAAAGTGAATCATGGTTTTTGTCATAAAATATTGAAATTCATATTCAGGTTGGCATGCAAGGACGATACTGATAGAGACACGGTAGACGATGATCTAAAAGCCCAATAAGATGCTAGAGCCGTCGCGCAACTATTCTATTACCACACCAAGTCCACAATACAATCATTATTCATTTTGAGACTGGCCCGTTACTCAAGTCATTAACTACTTACCCCCAGCCTACAGAACAGAAACAAGACTTAGATAAATACTCCATCCGAAGTTAAAGAATTTATTCCTGAAAATTAAAAATATTAGTTAAGTTAATTATTTTAAAAAGAAAAAAAGAGACAAGGATAATCGAGTGAGATATGCATAACAGATCTGTCATCATAAATTCTTAATGAATCCTTTTCTCCAATAAATCACAGCGAGACAGATCGTTGTCCTAATTCCCCCCCCCCCTTTGAAGAAAACGAAATAGAACTCATGGTCCTTGCCATCCATTGCTACAAGTCTCTCCCAACTCAAACACACAGAAGAATATCACACACCCAAACATGATTATGATTGGTGAGCACAATCACCTGGTGAGCCTCCAAATCATGCACTTGCGTAAAAACCCAAATATTTCTCTCATCATTCAATATCACTTTTGCAGCTTCTGATAACTTATATGGCCTGTTGCAATTGTTCAATATATATACACTGACGCTGGCCCTCGTCCATCCATAATCATTCTCACCATCAACCAATGTTCTCTACATATAATATCATATAACTCACACCTAAACTAAACACTTCCGACCGTATCCACATGGACCGCATGTGCCTCTGTATCTTCCCATACTCTCTCTTATATATAATTTCATGATAGCATAGAAGAGAACAAAAAATACCAAACTCTTCTTCATAAATTTGATTTTGAAAGGGAAAATTATAATGACATTTTTTTTTATCTGGACCCTATCATGTATGAGAGTAAGCATGCTATTCAATAATCCTAAAAGTGCTTTCAAATAATTTGATATGAAAAATTTGTATGGATTTGCTAGGTAGGAAGAAATGCCGTGTATGCATGTGTGTGTGTGTGTACTGTACTGTATACATAATCCAATGGATTGTGTGGCGATGGATGAAGCAAATGCCACTTGATCATCACAAGACTCCAATCTCCATATTCACATGCTGAGAGTCCATCACTGCGAAGAAATTGAAGCCAATAGATTTCACACTACAAGCTAATAAGAACCCATTTAATGTCTCTGCATAACAAGACAATACAGACGACAAAATTCAATTAATAGGCCTCGCTGTTTTCTTCCCCACAAATTCTGTGATCCAAATTTCATATCTTCATCATCATCATCACAAGAAGAAGAAGAAGCAGAAGAAGCAGAAGGAAGAATTTTTATAACTTCTTCGATGTGACTTGTTGAATGACTGATCAGTACTAATTTTTCATCTTTGTTTTTTCGGGGACGAAAAGATGTCTGGACTTGGCATGAACAAAGTAAAAGATTAAACATCTCAAACCTTGAGATATCGATCCAAAAGAGACACACACACATATGGACCACTAAGATATCAACTATGAAGAACTAACAGATTGGTCACTTACGGTTTACTGTGCCGTATAATATGTATATAGATACAACTTCCAATGATTAACCGGTAACTTGCTTTGCTATATATGGTTGGTGATGATGAATGGTATATTCTAGCTGTTCACATGCAATTTTAGAACGCAACAAAAATGGGATGAATGAGAGAGAGAGAGAGAGAGATCACATGAGAGAGTGAAGAGAAGAAAAGGCAGTGACTCACGGATCAATATAGAAGGTTACAAAGAAGTGAAGGCATTATAGAGAGAGGCGTGTTGTGAGGGACAGACAGAGACCAAAACTACGCATCTCCATCAAAGCCCATCCCTTACTCTCTCTCTCACTGAATCATCATTTTCTTTGCCTCTTCTTTTCACATGGGGTGCCACCCTGTACTGTTCCCCTACGCCCACTCTCATTTTATCCTCTTCTTCTCCATTAGCTGTAGCTACTCTGCCATACATCCATCTCATCACCACTCTCCTGACTCCTCCATTCTTCTCCCTTACTAAGGTTCCTTCTATTAATTTCTGTTCTGGCTATAGCTAATTGTTAAATTTTGTATGCTAAATGTTATTTCGTTGCAATTAAGTTTCTCGAAGCCGCGTCCGATGAAAGGAGTTTAATAGGGTGCGGGATGTCGTTTATGAAAAGATGGCATATATATTGAATTAAATTCTTGTTGTATTTCTCATCACGAGTTGGCCTATTAGCCCAGTTGGTTAGAGCGTCGTGCTAATAACGCGAAGGTCGCAGGTTCGAGACCTGCATGGGCCAAATCTTCCTATTTTTTCCCCTCGGTACCCTGCACCTAACGATTCTGGTCCCTTTTGCCATAAACTCTAGCCAGCCTTTTTAAAGTTACGGTCATAATTTGCTTTTTATGATTCTTTGTTCTTTTACGCCCCCAGACCTTGAATCTTCATCGACAATAATATATATCATTGGATCTTGGATTCAGTTCTCACTTTTCATTATGTAAATTTGTAAGTACTGCCATTTCATTGCAATGCCCAAACACACACACACCCACGAGCCAAAGGGAAAGTTTGATCTCATGATTAAAGAAGAGCATAGTGTTAGGAAGAAAAAGCAAGAAAGCGGTAGTTAGTGTCCCATAAGACCATGAAAAAGAATACCAACAGTGAAAAACCAATATACTGAAACATACAGCTTGAAAGAGACCACTCGAACATCCTCTGTGTGAGAGTTATCAATTGGGAGAGGACAAGGTAGCATTTTGTGATTTTCCTGATTGGATTCCTTTATCCTGAAAGTGATCAACTTTGATTAAATTAAAATAGCGCAATTAGCCAAGTCCTTAGTTAACCAATATTATAATCCTCAAGTGTTCTTCGGTTGCCGACACAGTGCAACTATATGTTGGCATATTGCAAAAATAAGAAGTCTTCTGGAATTATAGATCAGATCAGGATTAATTCATCGACATATCAGATAATTAATAAATTAAATTAATTAACTTTTTGAAGTGTCTATCGCAAATTCTATGTATGTACGTGAACGATGGGGCCAAAAGTCCCTTCACATTTCACTGGTCTCTATGAAGGTCTAATCATTCAGCCATTACCATAAAGACACATTAATGTTAACCTTATCTTCGTTTCGGGTGAACAAATAATTAAAACAAGGACACTTTCTTTTCCCTGTTTGCAGTTTATTCCATTTCATTTCTTGCAAGATTTCAATCAGTGGACATGCATGATCCTCAGCAACAGAGAGATTCTGAATTATACCTATGAGTTCCTTCCTGATAGAATGAGTCTAACTTGACCTTTGAATGTGCAGCTAAATTTCTTTTCCTCCAAATCAGATTTAGAAATTATTTATTTTATAATATATGGGTGTTCCTATTCTCTGGGGGGGGGGGGGAAAAAAGATATCATATTTATTACCCGTACTGAAGCATTCATGGAATACTTTTATGGCTCTTTATGCGAATTGTGAACTTGATCTAATCCAAGTGTACGTATCATAATACGATGCTCTCCTGGCCAGCTGGTCTATTGGCATAATCATCATGTTGGTTCTGTTATGCACATGCAAGAAAGCAAATACATTCTTTGATTCATAAGTATTGAAAAATGAAAAATCAATATATACTTTTTGGTGGGGTGAAAAAGAAACTTAAGTACAAGTAGTTTCTAAAAATCGCGTGTCCTCAGGGACCTGCTTCTAAAAAGCTGTTGCCTTTTTGCGCTATACACATACACAAGATCATAATTACTCTTTCTCAGTACATTTCCAGAAAACTACTAAAAAACATGAACAACTTGCTGTAAAATTCTGCTCTGCTAACATGCAATCTAATCTAGTGAACTAATAATTACTATATGGGTGATAAGTAAGTATTTTTTTTCTTCTGATTAATTAGCTAACTAGGAGTTCCTGTCAGTGTCATGGGATGATGAGATTAACATCATGCTTTTTATTCCCTGAAAGTAAAGAAGAAGCCAAAATAGAAATGAGATAGATGTTTCAGTGTGTTGTTTAGTGAAGAAGAAGAAGAAGAAGAAGAAGAAGATAATAACACAAGTAAAATTGATGATTCAACATGAAATATAGAGTGGCAAGGTAATTTTGCCAACTAGCATTTCACTGTCATCGACCATTTTGACCGTAGCAATTGGCCCATCATCACGTGATCTACTTTTCTGAACCTTTTTTTTTTTTGTTTGCTTCTTTCATCACTCTATGCTGCTTCTCCTATATATCACCTTCTTCTTCCATTAAAGCTTGTATGCTTACCGGTCATTCCTTTCTTTCTTTCTTTCTTGTTGCAGAGGACATAACTTGAGAAGTTTTGAAGCTCCTTTAAGCATGGAGTCTTCAAAGCTCTATGCTTTCCTCTTCATTTCCATGCTTTTTCTCTCCTCTTTCTCTCCCATTCTTGCTTGTCCCTACTGTGGCAAAGGCAAACCTCCCAAGAAGCACAAGCCCGCCAAAAAGCCTCCCGCTGTCAAGCCGCCGGTGAAGTCGCCGCCGGTTAAGCCACCAGTAACCCTACCTCCAGTAACACTGCCTCCAGTGACGTTGCCTCCGGTGACTGTCCCGCCAGTGAAGCCACCAGTGGACTTGCCTCCAATCAAGCCACCGGTGGAACTTCCGCCGATCAAGCCACCGGTGGAACTGCCGCCGATCAAGCCACCGGTTGAACTGCCTCCAATCAAGCCACCTGTTGAACTGCCTCCAATCAAGCCACCAGTGGATCTTCCTCCACTTCCGCCGGTGCCGATTCTGAACCCGCCTACTCCGAGCAAAGGAGGAGGGAAGGCGCCGTGCCCAGCACAAGCGACATGTCCGATAGATACACTGAAACTGGGAGCTTGTGTGGATCTTCTGAACGGATTGGTGCACGTAGTGGTGGGAGACCCGGTGGTGAACAAGTGTTGCCCAGTGCTGCAAGGGTTGGTGGAGCTTGAGGCGGCAGTGTGCCTCTGCACGACGTTGAAGTTGAAGCTTCTGAACCTCAACATTTATGTTCCCCTCGCTCTTCAGCTTCTTGTTGCTTGTGGCAAAACCCCTCCTCCTGGTTTCACTTGTTCCCTCTAAACCCAGTTAAGCATATATCAAGCCCTAACTCCCTCTCTTTTCATGTTTTGTTTTTGTGTCCAGTAGAGCTCAAAGGACTAATATATGTTAAACTTTATTCACAATAAACACAAATCTCACATGTTTATACTTGGTCTAAAAAATATATATGGATATTCCGTTCCATTGTTTTAATTATAATTAATTAGTTTCACATTCCATATTCCATGAAATGCCCAACCATTGTTTAATAGTGAATCTTATAATCTGAGACAGAAGCTTCCCAGGTTCCGGAAGCTACCTGTGGCTAATAATTAAAACAGTAAACCATAATCTAGTTAGTCTCTCTCTCTCTCACACATACTATTCTTTTTTGTTTGTTGGTTTTCCTTTACATTTTGGATTGTTGCAAGGAGATAATTAAAAACCTATGGTCCCGTTTGGTACGAAGTATTGAAAATGAAAGATTGGGATTAGAATTGCAACTGAGAAAAATCATTAAAATAGTATTTAGTATAAGTAATTGTTTGTTACATGGGATTAGATAAACCCATAGAAGTGGGATTGGGGAATAACACTTCCGTTATAGTATTCCCCAATTCCATATTCATAGGTCTGACTAATCTTCTACAACAAACAATCTCTTATGTTAAATATTCTTTTAGTAGATTTTTTAAATCCCAATCCCAATCCCTATTCCTGATTTTCAATACTTCCTACCAAACAATACCTATGTGCATCAGCTAATAGTGACCCCGAAACTTTTGTTTTTCATATTTGATAAGAGACTATTTATGCCGTCAGAAATTCAAAGATTAGAGAGCACATTCTTGACCAACACACGCGCACACACATTATAAAAGGAAGCAATCAACAATGAAATATGATTGTGATACTGTGGCTATTTACAATTGACAAGGAAGCGAAATAGGTTACTCTATATTTTTACGTGCTATACTACAGTTCACATGTCTTTCTACTGTTTATCCTGAATAGTTTTTGCTTCATGGAAATATCTGTGTGGTCATTCTTGAAGAGAGCTGGGTCGTGGAACAATTAATCATTGATACTTATCTATCATATACGTTTTTGGTTTTATGATTTGCCATACCCGTGAACTTCTTGTCTTTGTCTCATTGCATGCCATGCAACTGTTCCTCGCAGGTGGTCGATGAATTGAACGTGTGGACCAAATCGATCGACACGAGATGATATCGAGCCACTATTGTCTCTCTCTCTCTCTCTCTCTCTAGATTGGAATTTATTGCTGTTGTTTGGTTATCTCTCAATATTGTTAATTAAAACAATTTGTTTTTCTCAATTCTCAGAGATTGTTGTACGTACTTAAATTTTTATGCATGTTTTAATATTATTCCAAGCTAGGTCATTTAGCAGATATGCTTCTGTGACGACATTCCACAATTATATATGATTCGCATTTTGCTAAAGTTTATTATTACCTTCTATATATTCCATGATTACACACACACACACTCATTAGTACTTGATTTAACGTTGGCAAATCAAACTTGGGTAGCTAGTTGGTAAAAGGAAAAAGTGAAAAATGTATGATTGCTTCGTTGGATTGCCTTCATGAACCCTAAATTTGAGAGTTAAATGTGACATTTCATGTAAAAGATTCCTCTTTGATTGGTCCACCACAGTCCTACAGGGAAAGATATGGTTCTGGGATTTCAATGGGCTAAGGGAATTCCAGTAGGATTGCATAAAGAGAGAATGTTACCTTTTTCAATGAAAACAAGTGAGGGAGTGGTGTGACACAGAGATATTGAAGCAGTGGTACATGTGATCTTCTCTTGTCTCATAGCGGCCACTGATTATTCCTAAATATTCATTCGCACTATATATTTATATGAGTACTCTCATATTTCCAATACATTCTCTGCAATCCTTATTAACCATTTACTGCTAGTAACCAGCTTCTATGACATGATATATCACAAACTAGAAATAAAACTAAGCTTTTCGATTCAAAGAAGGTTATTCACACTCATATAATAGAATGTATATATATATATACCCATCTGTATCAAGTCCTAATTATAAAAATTAGTTATAGGAAGGCGGCCATGGTTCTATGCATAAGATTTCCATCAATTTTATCTCTATATATATCAAACAAATTTGTGTAAATTATAAACTGATATGTAATCTAATGTTATACAAAAATTATTTTATATATATCATGTCACATTTATTAGAATCAATTATATTTAGCTTTTTTAATTTACCTAAATTAGTTAAAGAGCTCTTGTATTAAATATCAAGGGAATAATTTTTTAGAAAGAATTATTATGAAGTCCTAAGAAACAAAATGTAATCACATAAAAAAAATCTCAATAGTGGGTAACATAAACCCTTTTTTATTTTTTGCACTTCTACTTATCATGCTTATGTTGGTTGTGAGATTTTCTTAGCATTCACATTTCTTCCTTAAAACCTGATTCTCCTAATTTTTTTTGGGTATTCACATGCCCAAAAAAAAGGGGGGGGGGGAAGAAGTACCTTGTAATTAACGTGTATCATACACCTGAAGGAAATCTAATAGGTTTATTATCTGGGATCTTAAATTTAAGAATTAATCAATAAGCTATTGATTGAAATACTAAATGGTCTCACACAAGTTCGAATATCAAAAAACGTACTTGTTAGGAGGGTTTTAACATTAATGCTTTTGGCCCAACAAAAATTATTCTTAAATCTAAAGTTACTTGAAGATACACTGAGTTACACAATAAAAAATAAAAATTAGACGATAAGTTTATCTTGGAATATATTTATTTTTTATATCATGATCTGGGTTAGAGTTTATGCTCACGCCTCACAGTGTCGTTTGTCTTGAGCTGTGGTCCTTTCCAGTATATTAAAAAAAAAAAAAATGATCTTGAGCTGAGGTTTTTGGGTTTGTGTGGTTTGGGTTTTCGACCCACTTTATTAGATAATAAATGTTTGTTTTTAGTGGGGGAAAAAATATTCTTCTCAAATTTTGCGCATTTACAAAATCTGCAATGCAATTACTTCTAGAATTATAAAGAAGCATCAGCCAGTTCAAGCACAAAGTTGAGGTGTGAGCGTTGATAGATGTCAAAGTTTAAATCTTTTCAATAGATGGGAAAAGCTTAAACATAACTGTTAGCAATCATTTTTATTATGATCCTTAAAATTTAACATTAATGTTTTTGGTTAGAACTGTTGGTCCTTGTGGCTTGTAAAAAGAATTAAAGTTGGGGTTAACAGTATTAAAAAGTGACATGACAAAATTGGTGAGTAAACTAATAAGGGACCTGGATTGTGATAAAAAGAATAGGAGCTTAGAAACGCAGAGAGAGTTCTGGAAAGTCTAATCAGGCGAATTCATGATCAATCGGCACAGGTAGGCTCCATATATCAGGCCTGAACCGAAATTCCGACCATTGCATTTATTTACCAAAAAAAAAATTAAAAATTTCTCATACTTCATTGGGCATTACAAAAAGTAATCAGAAGATCAAAAAAATTGGAAACAATACATGAGATCTGAGCTCCAATATATATTCCATCTGGGTGTAAACCAATCATGGGGGGCGAGTCAGAAAGTCAACTCTCCAGAACGAAAGTAGAATTAAGATTCAAAATAAAAATCGATTTTCCAGTTCTTTCTCAATGTAGGAACTTGACTCTAATCTTGAATATCAACTACATTAGCTTCTAAAACACAATCCGAATCAGAATTACAACTCAAATTTCACAGGCGGGCATCAGCACTAACCAAAACACGGCCACCACCAATGAATGAACCCTAAATTTGAAAATATGGGGAAAAAAGGACCAGAAAAACTTATTCTCTGAACAGAACTTATATATATGTTACAAATGCTATGAAAGGATTAAACTATCCTCTAACTATAGCTGAGGTGGGTCAGCCATGGTGAAATGTCAATACAACACTCACGAAGATTTGTTCAATGTTATTCCACTATGGAGGAACTTAATTCGGCTACACTTTTTTAATTTGGCTAGAGCTTCTTGTTGCTTACCAAGTGAGAGATCCACATAAACTGAAGTAAGTGTGGCTTCCGGACTGTTTGGTAATATGGATAGAGCCTGTGTCACCAATTGATAGGCTTGCTCAAATTCACCCTGCAAAGCAGACATCACTGCAAAATTAGCATAAAGCGTTGCGCGTGCCTCCTCTGGCTTGAGGAAAACAATAGCTTGTGAATCCTCAAGGGAAGGATTATTCGCTGCCGTGGATCCTCCATTCGCCTCCTCATTTTCAACTACCCTTTTCACTTGCCATTTATCGCAGTCCTCTAGGCTGAAAGGCAAGTCAAAATTATTTGACCCAGACAAATAAACTGACAAATGTTCAGCCGCTTCCTTCGGTCTATTTAGCAAGCAGAGAGCCTCTGCTGCATAAACATGTCCTAGAAAGATGTAAATCTTGAGACACTCCGGAAGCTCCAACAGACATCTTGCAACTGACAGTGCCTTCACAGGGTTGTCCAGCTCAAGCTCGACAAAAGCCAAATTGGCAAGAGTAGCTTGCTTAATTAATTGATTTTCTCGTCTACAGATGTCGTCATAATAGGTTAGAGAGTTCTGAATGAACTCCTGACTAATTCCTCCCTTCTGCTCTTTTGCGTCCCCATTTGAATTAACCTGATTTAAACCTACTGATACTGAAAGTGCCTTGGAATCAATGCCATGTAAGTTTTTATTATTTGAATTCTTTGAAGACAAGAGTTCACCTGGATCGCTTTCCTCCACTGAAGAATTTGAAGGCAAACCAGACTTCAGACCTGTCCTGCAGGAATCCAGCAAGTGCAGGGCATTTAAGAGACACTGCCGAGCAAAAGACATGGATAACTTTGGTTGTCTATCATTGCCTGGACGACATTCATCCCTTTTAGATGAGTTCACAAGTCCATTTCTTGGAATCTGATCTTCCACAACAAGTTGCCTCCATTTTCCCTTCCCAACAACACGAACTCCAACCAAGGAATCTGATGGAGCGCCACCTGAAGTAATGAGGCCCTTTTCCAATGCCATGAGGCAGCATTCTGACAGTCTGAGCCACAATAAAGGCTGCTTATAGAAGATCAAACTAGCCTTCTCAAAACAGCATGCGGCAAGTATTGGTTTTCCACAAGCCAAGTACTGCACACCACTATTATATACGATAAGAAGAGAGTTATCCCGCGAGAAAGTGGCTAGCTTTAGTGGTTGCTCCTTCCTAAGCGACGAACAAGCAGTTAATGCCTTTGAGAAGAACAATGATGATGTCTGGTGTTTCCCAAGCTGGTAATAAATGCACCCCAGATTGTTGTTGAAAATACTAGTAGTAAATGCTGCATCAGGATCACCCCGACCTGATGCCATCAATAGCTTTATGGCTTTGCGGTGGTTACCACGAGCATATTCAAGCTGAGATTTCAAAAGCAGGGCCATGGACGAGTCTCTTCCACGTCCTACATTCATGGCCAACTTGACTTCACGTTTTGCTAGCTTCAAGTTCCGTGTAAGAAGCAGAAAACGAACCTTGTAAAGTTGCAATTTAAGCTTTAACTCAACAGTAGACAACTGATCCACCAAAGCCCTCGAATGATCATTTGATGACGGGCCAGTTGGCCTTGCTAAGTTTTGTCCACCCATATCCAATATCATGGCTTCATAGTCAAACGTCTCATCAGATAAAGCCCTGGATAGATGATTTTCAGATGCATTAACATTTGGACCCAAATCTGAACTGGATGCATCAGCAACTGATGCACTAGATGGGACATACGAAGACTTTGTAATTAGGTTAGCAGATTGCTGCTGTGCTGAATTCACATTGTCACCTTGACTCACGCAGCTAACACCAAATGCTTTTTCCAGATAAGTCAATACATCCTAAACAAAACAGATTCCAGATCAGAACAATGCATTTGTAAAATTCCAAAGCTACAAAAAGGAAGCCAAAATAAATATTTATGCCACTACTAGACATATTGATAAAGGAAAAATAAGATCAAAGGGAAAAGTGAAATACGAGAACATTTTATCACTTTTTTGTATCAGGAAAAAATGAAGAAAGGGAATCTCTCAATTGAAGTCTTCATATTGTAGATTGTAGAAGTTGAATCATTCAGGCATTGTAATGCCACCCACTCCAAAACCTTTCCAACCAGCCACAAAAGATCAAAAACTATAGATATCAGATCCAATTCAGAAACAAATGCTACTCTCCAGATAAGGCACAATCTTTCAATGAAAGAAGAAATTATATTAGGACAGAGTATAGCACAAAGGATAAGATATCCTCCACCACCGGAGACTTGAAAATACACAGAGAAGGTACATCAACATAATAAACCCTCCAGTTCCTCAACGTGGCCATCAAGGAAAAGGAGGCAAAAAATTTTATCATTCAAGACTTTCTGCATTAAATTCCATAACCAATAGAAATCTAAAACCCCATTTACA